TAGCTTTACAAATAGGTGTCTTTGTTTTTTCTGTTTTCGTAGTATCTTTTACTTCCTTTTTAGGTTCAAGGAGATAAGCAAGACTTCCGCTATACTCAGATGGCATCGTAAATGATGCTACCCTTTCTATGATGTTTCGCTTTCCAGATCTCACATCGATTATAGACAAACTATCTATTGGAAGCTTATCTTTTGGTGTCTTTTTTCTTTTCAACATTCTAAGACTATCAGTATTCATACCATGTGTAAAAACGACAAAATCACCAGAAATGTCTACCTCTGCTTGATTCAGCCTATCAAAAGTTTTGACTGTATCTTTAAGTTTATCGTAAATGCATAATGTTTTATCACCCAGTTCCTTTTCGAGTGCATAAATGACTGTTTCTGCCTTTTCTGAAAGTTTTATTTTTGTGATTTTTCGCCATTCATTGTAAACTGCGGGCGTCATTTTTGCTTGGTTTTGTGCTTGTAAAACACATAGATTAATTGATAGTAAAGTAAAAATAAAAGCAAATTTATTAAACAATAAAGCGTTCATATTCTTTTTTATCATAATATTGCGTTGTTTTGTATAAAGTGATATTGACACTCTTTCGTTAAATATTAGTTGGTGTCAATAATTTCAAAACGTAAAAATATAAAAATAACCGAAATAAAGGAATATGATTAATATAGGATTGATAGCACACGATGGGAAAAAGCCCGAAATGGTCTCATTTGTTGTTTCCAACAAAGCTTTTTTGTCCAAAACCAAAATATTTGCCACAGGTACTACAGGCGGCCACATTGCAAAAGAAGGCTTTGACGTCGAGTGTCTCCTTTCAGGTCCAAAAGGTGGTGATGCACAAATAGCTGCATTGCTTGCCACGGGTTTGATTGACGTAGTAATATTCTTTAGAGATCCTTTAGACAAACACCCACACGAGCCTGATGTACAGATGCTTATGAGACTTTGTGATGTTCATAACATTCCACTTGCTACAAATCCAAAAACGGCACACTATATCCTAAAAGGTATTGAAGTGGAAATGACACGAGAAGCAAAAATCAGAAAGGCAGGAGGGCACCTTTAAACGACAATGTCTAATTTAGCAGTATGAAGACCGAAGAATTCAGAGCAATATCTGATACGATACCACATGAACCCGGTGTGTATCGGTTTCTTGACCACGATGGTACTATTTTGTATGTAGGTAAAGCAAAAAGTCTTAAAAACAGGCTAAATTCTTATTTTGGTGACAAAAAACATGCGCAATTTAAGACAGTATTGCTTACAAGAAATGCTGCAAGGATTGAATTTACAGTAGTAGAAACAGAACATGATGCGTTATTACTCGAAAATTCACTAATTAAAAAATTTCAACCTAGATATAACGTAAGTCTAAAAGATGGTAAGTCATACACCTATATTTGTATCAAAAATGAACGATTTCCAAGGGTATTTTTTACTCGAAGGGTAATTCGAGATGGTTCTCAATATTTTGGACCATATACATCAAAATATAGGGTTAATATTCTGTTGGAGATCATCAAAAAACTATTTACACTCCGTACTTGTACGCTAAATTTATCCGAGGAAAATGTCAATAAAGGCAAATTTAAAGTTTGCCTAGAGTACCATATCAAAAATTGTCAAGGTCCCTGTGAAGCTTTGGAGTCTGAAGATTCATATAATTATAAGATTGAACAAGTCAAAAACATCTTAAAGGGAAATCTTGGTGGTGTAAAAAAATACATCACCGATCAAATGAAATCACATGCTGAAAACTTAGAATTTGAAAAAGCACAAGTTTTAAAGGATAAGCTATTCGCATTTGAAGACTATCAGTCTACTTCTACGGTCGTGAGCACCACAATAAAAGATATTGATGTATTTGCCATCAAAAAGGAAGATCAAATGGCATATGTCAACTACCTTAAAATTATAAATGGAGCTTTGGTCAATACAGACATCAGTGAAATGGTCATGAATCTAGACGATGAAATCGAAGATTTATTATCTTTTGTCGTCCCTACCATCCGGGAAAAATTCAATAGTATAGCTCCAGAAGTCATTGTGCCTGTGGAAATTATAGTGCCTGATGAAAAAGTATTGGTAACTGTTCCTCAACGTGGTGATAAAAAGAAACTCTTAGAACTAGCTGAAAAGAATATCGATTATTACATCTTGCAAAAACGTCGTGATGACGTGAGCCATCAGAAAAAAATATCATCATCGGAGCGCATTCTTACTACACTCAAAAAAGATTTGCAGATGGATGTCATGCCATTGCATATCGAATGTTTTGATAATTCTAATATACAAGGTAGCAATCCTGTATCAAGTTGTGTTGTATTCAAAAATGCTAAGCCAAGTAATAAAGATTATCGACATTTCAAGGTTAAAACAGTAGTTGGTCCTGATGATTTTGCATCCATGGAAGAAGTTGTGTTTCGAAGGTACAAACGAATGTTGGACGAAAATAGCAGTTTGCCACAATTGATCATAATTGATGGTGGTAAAGGTCAATTAAGTTCTGCGGTAAAAAGCTTGGAATCTTTAGGTATACTTGATAAAGTAACGGTGATTGGTATTGCTAAAAAATTGGAAGAGATATTTTTTCCAGGGGACTCTCTCCCACTCTATATTAATAAAAAGTCTGAATCGCTTAAACTCATCCAACAAGCTAGAAATGAAGCACATAGGTTTGCTATTTCATTTCATAGAGACTTAAGGTCTAAAAATTTCTTAGGAACTCAGCTTACAAATATACCAGGTATTGGAAAGGTAACAGCAGAGAAATTGCTCAAAAACTTCGGATCTATCACAAGACTAAAGGAAACACCGACTGAAGAAATTGAAAAAGTCATAGGGAAGGCTAATACTAAAAAAGTATTGGATTATCTAGAAGAATAATACTAATGCTCGTCGGTCAAAGTTTACAGACATTCAGGTATTTTTTGAAATACGTATGTCTAAGTCTCTTATCTTTGAGTCCATTCCGAAAAGATAAATCTTATGATAATCAACCGTTTTCACCCTTATCCCTAAAGGGAAACAATTGATTATCAATGTGGTAGGAAATATTTATTTCTCATCTTTAACATAAAATATTTTTCGGAGACTAGACCATCTTTTAATTTATCGGTCTGCTTACTTTATATGCAATTTCCTACCCTAGCGCAACATCAAGCATCATCATCACCACAAACCCACCTATAAATCCGAGCGTAGCAATGTCCGTATGTTTGTCTTGTTGGGTCTCAGGTATCACTTCTTCTACCACCACAAAAATCATTGCTCCTGCAGCGAAGGCTAAAGCATATGGCAATATTGGTGTAAAAAAATTAACCGCCAAAGCACCAACTACACCAGCAACAGGCTCTACCAATGCAGAAGACTGTCCATAAAGAAAACTCTTTCGAGAACTCATACCCATTCTTTTTAAAGGCATGGCAACTGCAATACCTTCAGGAAAATTTTGGATACCAATACCAATAGCAAGCACAACAGCTCCTGCAATAGAAGCTTCAGGAATACCCGCTGCTACACCGCCAAATAACACACCTACCGCTAATCCCTCAGGAATATTATGTAATGTAATAGCCAAAACTAGTAAAGTAGTGCGTTGCCAAGGCGTTTTTTTACCCTCTGACTCTTTGAAATTAATATGTAGGTGTGGAAGTACTTTATCCAACCCAAATATAAAAAAAGCACCCAAAATAAAGCCGATAGACACAGGAATCACCTTTTGGAAGCCATCTCCACCTGTCATTTCAATAGCTGGTGCTAACAAACTCCAAAAACTAGCTGCCACCATGACACCACCTGTAAAACCCAACATACCATCTAAAGCTGCTCTATTCATAGTTTTGAATAAAAAAACGGTAGATGCACCAAGCGCAGTGAGTGCCCATGTAAATACAGTGGCATAAAAAGCTGCCAAAATCGGGGAAATCCCCTCAAAATATTGAATAATCTGCTCAAACATAGCATTGATTTTTTAAAGTTAACATAGGCGATTAAATATATTGTAAATGTATGTTCACTTTGTATAAATCCCCACTTATCAACGTATTAATACTGTAATGATAAATAAACAATGTAAATGAAACACTCAAACAATTTAAATTACCTACTAAAATAACCACAAAATTAAAAGATAGTTTTAATATATACAAATAATATTTTTAGACTAATCTAAATCTGTAAGAATCAGAATTACTTTAACTAATAATCACCAACTATAATAATCACCAACTATCTCAAATATTTCGATTATTCTTGCTACCTTTGCGCGAATTTTTTTAAAATCTAACATCATACAATAATTATATATGGGTCTTCAGTGTGGAATCGTAGGTCTTCCGAATGTGGGAAAATCCACTTTATTTAATGCATTAACTTCTGCAAAAGCGCTTGCCGCCAACTATCCTTTTGCTACCAAAGAACCAAATCTAGGAATGATAGTAGTTCCAGATGAACGTCTAGATAAATTGGAAGAATTGGTAGTGCCACAGAAAGTATTACCTACAAGTGTTGAAATTCTAGATATTGCAGGTCTGATAAAAGGAGCGAGTAAAGGTGAAGGGTTGGGAAATCAATTTCTTGCCAATATTAGAGAAGTAGATGCCATTGTCCATGTGGTAAGGTGTTTTGAAGACGACAATATTCTGCACGTAGACGGCAGCGTCGATCCAGTTAGAGATAAAGAAATCATTGACTTAGAGTTGATTTTCAAGGATATCGAGACTTTGGAGAAAAGAATAGAAAAACTAAGAAAAACTGCAAAGTCTGGTAGTAAAGATGATGCAATTGCCGCTGAATGGGCAGAGAAATTGCTGAAACATCTTGAGTCTGAAAAACCAGCTAGAAGTTTTGAAGTGGATGATGCTTATCAAGACTTGTTTAAAGACATGTACTTATTGACTTCTAAACCTGTTCTTTATGTATGTAATGTGGATGAAGCTTCTGTAGCAAGTGGAAATAATCACACAGCTAGATTTATTGAATCTGTTAAAACTGAGAATGCAGAGATACTTTTTATTTGTGCTGGTATTGAAGCTGAAATAGCAGAATTAGAAAGCAAAGAAGAAAGAATGGAATTTATTGAAGCGATGGGTCTCGACGAACCAGGTGTCAATAAAATCATCAGAGCTGCCTATAGATTACTTAACCTTTACACTTACTTTACTGCAGGAGTGAAGGAAGTACGTGCTTGGACGATCAAAAAAGGATGGAAAGCACCACAAGCGGCAGGCGTCATTCACACAGATTTTGAGAAAGGTTTTATTAGAGCTGAAGTAATCAAATACGCAGACTTTGTCAAATATGGTTCAGAAGTAGCAGTAAAAGAAGCAGGTAAAATGGGTGTAGAAGGCAAAGAATACGTCGTAGAAGATGGTGACATCATGCACTTTAGATTTAATGTATAATTTGGAATGAAGCTTATGTAAGCTCATTTATTTAGATAAAATATCTCATAACGTTATAGGTATTTTAAGTTTTATCACAATATAAGTAAGTAAAAAATGGAAGCAAAAGTTAAGACAGAAATCAAATATTTCGTTTTTTACAAACCTTATAATGTTTTAAATCAATTTACTAAGGAACGTCCTGAACATGTAACACTAGCAGATTTTCTGAAGGTAGACAAGGATGTCTATCCATTAGGAAGACTTGATAAAGACTCTGAAGGTCTTTTGATTTTGACCAATGATAGATCGCTTAATTCACTTTTGCTTTCTCCGTCACAACACCACAAAAGGTCATATTTTGTACAATTAGACAATGAACTTACCGATCAAGCCATTGCAAAGATTAGTAAAGGTGTCGAGATAAAATTAGAAACTGGCGATTACAAAACAAGGTCATGTACTGTCAAGAAGTTGCAAAAACCACCTTTACTGCCTGAAAGAAATCCACCAATTAGAGTTAGACAAAATATTCCGACATCTTGGGCACTCATCGAGCTTACAGAAGGGAAAAATAGACAAGTACGTAAGATGTTTGCTTCCGTAGGTTTTCCTGTGCTGAGATTGGTAAGGGTACAAATTGAAGACCTAAAATTAGGTAAACTTGAACCAGGTAAATATTACGAGATAAAAGCTGATGAATTATTCAAATTGATCAAAATCGATCCATCTGCCCTAACAAAACCAAAACCAACTGCAAAAAGGATTTATGGACCTTCCAAAACAACAAAACCTGCTGACAAACCAACAACACCAAAAGATAGTAAAAAAGCAACCACAAAATCTTTTGACAAACCATCGTCTGTAAAAGCTAAAGATTCTCAAAAGTCTAGTAGCAAATCTTTTGACAAACCAAAATTTGCGTCTAAAGCTAGTCCAAAAGTAAAAGAATCAGAAAAATCTACAGACAAACGCGAATTTGATGGACCTAAAAAAGAAACAAAATCTTACAAACCAAAAAGTTCTGCTCCTAAAGTAAAACCTTTCAACAAAAAGGAAGCAGATAAAAACAAAAAATCTTATTTCAAAAGATAAAATACCTATTCGCTACCCTATTCTACCGTAATACTGAGAACTTTTCAGTAAGTTGACCTTGCTTGTTTGTCATTCGCAAAAAATATATTCCTGATGGCAGAGTAATTACATTAATGGCTTTATATCTAAAGCTCTGGTTCGATTTTTTGATTACTATTTGGCCTACATTATTATATACTTCAATGTCCGTATCCATCAATTCCACATCAGATTCGATGGAAATTACATCTACAGCTGGATTTGGATAAATAGACACTTTAGCTATCATATTATCTTGCGTACTACTTGGCGCGCTGTCAAATAAAGGTGTTGACCATAAACCTCGACCATAGGTAGCAGCGTATAATTTAGATTCTGCATAATTAATTTCCAATTCATTAATGATGACATTAGGTAAATTGGTCACAAATGGCTCCCATGACGAAAGTGTATTGTCGATGTAAAATACGCCATAATTCATACCTATATACAATCCTTCTTTCTCACCTTCTTGCCAGACCAAAGCATTTGCTGCAAAATTTGGCAAGTTCTTTCTATAAGAAGTCCATGTGTTGCCTCCGTCATTTGAAATGTATACTTTTTGAGTATTGGTGGTGGCTATAGCTATTTTATCAGGATTATTGGGATGGATGGCGATATCATTAATGTTCCCTGAAAAACCTGATAATTGCTCCCAATTTCCTTCTCCAGTTACGGTTTTATATAATGAGTTGCCATGAGCTGCATACATAACTGTTGGATTAGAAAGAGAAATTTTTAAATGGTCCAATTTACTTGGAAATTCCTGCGATATTTGATCCCAACTAGAACCATCATTATCTGTTCTAAATATTGCTTCATAACCTACATATATCGTATTGGGTGCAATCGGATCTTTTTCAAAAGGCGTGACCCAGTTGCCTGATTCCGATCCAGGTTGTTGAATATAGTCTACTCCACCAAACAGATTTTTCTTGTACAAACTTCCAAATTGTGAAGTACCATACAAGATATTATTGTCAATACCGTCTACAAATGTTTCCATACCATCTGCCCCAAGCCAATCTGTCCAACCCGTCGACGGTGAATACCATGAAGTACCATTATCTTGTGAGCCTCCAGAAACAACTACCGGATTTGTTTGAGATAAACCAATTCTATAAAAATGCCTTATCCCCATTCCTGTAGTAAGGTCTTCATAAAATTCAGGAGACACTTCTTGTGTATTTTCTGCTTTATAAATTCCACCATCTGAAACCACAAATAACTTATCATTATAAAAGCCCATCGCATTGATATCAGCATGACAATATCCTATAAACTTGTTTTCTGCACTATTAGGTATCCAGTCTGATGTACATTCAAAATTAACACCACCATCTCTAGAAACCCATGATAAAATACCTCCAATATGAACTTCATCTGCATTAAATGGATTTACTGCAATATCCATATTTCTGGGAGCTTGGCCCCTATCGTCATCTGCAAAAGTGCTATAACCAAAGTAGTTTTTGCCATCATGATTTTGTTTAATAAAATCTTCACCACCATTTTCAGATCTATAAAATCCTCCAAATATTCCATCAGCAGCTTCTAAGACATAAACAACATCAGGGTTGTCTGCTGAGACGCCTATTGCTTTGGGCCCTGTACCCACAGCTCCATTATCGATTTTTTGTTTTTGAAGGGTTATATTAATCGGTGTGTTATTTTGCTCCTTTAATTCATTGATTAATATCTCTCCCAAATCTCTAGATACCATGACTGCTGATATCGTGATTAAGTCATCGCCTACACTCATGACAGTGGCATCACCTGACATATTGTGTACGATGATTACTCCGATTGCTCCAGCCTTTTGTGCATTTAATATTTTTGTTACAAATGTACATGTACCTCTTCTGATAACTACAATTTTGCCTGCTAGTTGATCTGGATTGAAAGCTTCATTGCAACCATTTGAAGTTGTACCATCAGCATCATCCAAATATAATGCTAAATCTCCAGTAAGACTTTCAGGAAATGTGGGTACAGGTACTTTTCCAGCATTAAAGTTATTATCCACAGCTTCATAAACGCCTTGTAGACTTGACGGTGTATTGATGGTTAATAATTTAGGACTACCTTCACCATTCGTTTTTTGCTCAAAACTAATGCCACCATCCGTTGACTTGAAAAAATTATTTCCTACAGCATACATGGTGTTTAAGTCTCCTGGTTTGAACTCTACATCATATCCTGTATCATCACTAATGACTTTAATCCAATTCACACCTCCATCTTGACTTCTGAATACACCAGCATTTTGACCACAAGCAAACATAATATTTGAATCCTCTGGGTGTAATAAAATTTTACGAATGCTAGAACTACCAGCTGAAGTCAATTTTGTCCACGTCGCCCCAGCATCTACCGACTTATATATTCTTCCTTGGGTAGATCCAAAATAATAAGTGGTAGGCTCATTTTGATCAATTACCACAGAGTTTACATACATATTTGAAAAATAATCCAATAGCGGCGTCCATGTTTTTCCACCATCTAAACTTTTCCATACGCCTCCAGATTCAGCACCTGCGATCATATGGTTTTCATCGCTTTCATCAATAGAAAAGCCTGTAAGCCTTCCTACGCCAGGATTCCAACTTGTACTTGCAAACCAAGAAGTTGGTCCCATTTCTTCCCAAAAGTCATTGTTGTTTCTAAATTTATTTGCCTTTTCATTGATGGAAGCATTCAGCTTTTCCCATTCTCTGATATACTCTTCTTCTGGTTTTAGATATCCACTATCATCCATCATTCTCAGTGCCTTATATTCCCAGCGCTTATATTGTTTATATCCAGTTCCGCGTCCCTTATCTTTTCCTTCAAAAAATGATTCAGCACTTTTCTGTATATCTTTTACAGCATAATTACCAGCATCAATCATCTTTAGATACTCTTGGCTGCTGAGTGAGTTAGGTAATAAAAATATTACTAAAATAAGCACTACATAGGATGCATTAACTTTCATCTGGAAATTTTAAAAATTTAAAATATTACTTTGAATGTCGAAAAGTTATTTAAAAAATCAAAACTAAAATTTAAAATCAAATTACAAGGAACTAAACCTTACATTTTTTTTAAATAGGTCATCTGTAAGACATATTCTACATGCAGTTTATTACTATTTTACAAACTGATAGAATTTTACGCTTTCATATCTATGAGATTATAAAAATCTTGTAACTTTGGGTTTTAAGATAAAATAACAGCCATGTTTAAACAAAATTTTGGATTGCGAGTATTGCCTTATATCTTGATTTTATACACTTTATTTTGATTTAACCCGTATTTACTTATTAAATCATCTATTAAAAGACTTATAAAACCTACATCGTCTGCAGTACTTCCAAAAGACCATACTACTGATGAAAAAATTCCACTTGTATTTAATATGCACGGTTTTACATCAAATGCGATCCAACAAGAATTATATTCTGGTATGAACGCTGTAGCTGATGTTGAACGATTTGCTGTTTGTTACCCAAATGGTGTAGGTAATGCTTGGAATGTTGGATGGGCTTTCGGAAGTACTGCAGACGATGTAGGTTTTATAAGTCTTTTAATAGATGATTTAATAAGTAAATACGGGTTAAATCAAAATAAAGTGTATGCATGTGGCATGTCAAATGGTGGATTTATGAGTTATAAACTTGCCTGCGAATTAAGCAACAAAATAGCTGCTATCGCTTCTGTGACGGGAAGTATGGTACCTGGAGCAACTGCACAATGCAACCCTGACAACTTAGTACCAATCATGGAAATTCATGGAACAGCTGACAATACTGTTAATTACAATGGTACTCCGTTTGTCTCTACGGCTATTCCAGAAATATTAAAATTCTGGCAAGATAAAAATGAATGTGACGTGGCACCTGAAATAGAAATGATACCAAACAGCAATACTACTGATAATACAACCACAGAAAAACATACTTATATCAATTGCAAAAATAATAAGGAAGTAGTACATTATAAAGTCTTAGGTGGTGGACATACATGGCCTGGCGCAAGCATTTCTACGGGTGCTACTAGTCAAGATTTTAATGCCAGCGCCACTATTTGGGAGTTTTTTAACAGGTATTCTCTGGAAAACACTTCAAATGTGCTTGCTACCAATACTAACACTAGAACCGTAATAGTAAATAACCCTTCATCAGATTATGTAAATATCCGCCATTTGTCTGATAACCAAAATTTGAAACTGTATAATTTACAAGGACAATTGTCTCTTCAAACCCAACTGAATTTTGGTGAAAACATAATTCAAATTGGACATTTAGAGAGCGGTATGTATTTTGTAAAAGTAGAAAACCAACCAACATTAAAATTTATAAAAATCTAATATCTTTATGCAAGAATATGCTGAAATCTTAAACTACGCTATTCCGTTTTTTATCGTCTTGATAGCTATAGAATATGGCGCGAGCTGCTTTATGCACTTGAAGGTTAATAGATTATTTGATACTATATCAAGTCTTAGTTCTGGAGTCACCAATGTTTTAAAAGATATCTTGGGTTTAAGTATTGCCATTATCAGTTATAAATGGATGGTCGAACACTTAGCCATATTTTCTATAAATACATCTTGGATATTGTATGTATTAGCGTTTATTGGGTTGGATTTTGCGGGATATTGGTCACATAGATTTTCACATGAGATTAATTTGTTTTGGAATAGACACATCATCCACCACAGTAGCGAA